CCCCAAAACCCCAAAACCCCAAAACCCCAAAACCCCAAAACCCCAAAACCCCAAAACCCCTGCTTATTAAATTTGAATTGAATGTAAATGGTTAGGAGAATTCTTCAAGTTTCAAAAATTCTTGTAGCGAATCCATTGCTTTTTTGAGTCCCTTCGTGTATTCTTCAATTTCTATCTGATCAGCTTCAAAGCCTTCAGCATCCTTGACTCATTTCTCGTAGACTACTCCAATATACAAAGATTTGAATGTACTATCAACGTTCATGTGACTAATTGTCATGAGCTCGCTATGCCCCTGGAAGGATACAGCTTCAGTGAGATGCCCGTTGATCTCTCCAATTCCTTCTCAGAAGTTCTTCTCTGCAAGACCAGCATAAGGCTTAGTATTGCTCACATAGAGAAGGCTTGAATTCCAGACCTTGGTTTCATTCTTGGTTGCGATATCTTCGAACTTCTCGTTCATGTCTTTGTGATAGCATTTGCTAACATCGTAGAATCTTAGCCCCCAATCGTCAATATTTATCCCAGTGTTTGAGTTGAGAACAGAGATGTTGATGTGATCATTAGGGAGGAAGAGATCTCCAACTTTCATGTCTTCTCTAACTGCAAAGATATTGGCCATGATAACAAACCTATTTACTCCTAGTCTGTGGAGAATCCTAGTAGGCATACTTCTTGCAGCAGGATCCATAGTAACCTGATGAACTATAATTCCTTTGATCACAAGGAGCTCGTAGCTGTCATCACTCTTGAGAGAGCAGAGAAGCAGCTCAGGGAGGCTCTGGGTGATCTCAGAGTCAGAAGTGAACTTCACAACCTTCTTTATGTTAAAGTAGTCTTCAATTTGATTATAATTGAAGTGGTGAAGCTGGAGTCCGACATAGCTGGATTTAGATAACTTCAGGAAATCAGAGATGGCCTTAATGGCAGTATCGAACTTCTCAACGTCCATGCCTTGAGGCATATCTACTTCAATGTTTTCGTACTTGGTATGATCAAGTGGCTTGCTTAGGGAGACAAGCTGGGACATGTGCTTGTCAATACTTTCTACTTCGTGAGAGTATCCAAAATTTTCGGAAATTTTCTTACTAGAGAATTCATCAAACAAGATATCTCCAATTTTCTCTGCGTTAACAGCACCATTGCCAACAAATCCATGATCTTTGACTATAGCAAAGGTAATTTGGATGAGACCAAGATTGTTTGCCTCGTCAATAGCAGCAGTATTTGTGATAGTAATCAAATCTTGACCAGCTTCCTTATACATATTTACATTAGCATCTGATGGATGACATGGCCCATCCTGTAGAATCAAGGAAATATCATCGAAGTCTGAAGAGTCATTTCCTAACTTCTCAGTGAGCACTGATTTGGCCTTTGAAACCAGAGTCTTCTGTGCTGTTTTAAAGGCATAGAACTTATCGAGATTTGGGTTGCAAGGTGGGAAATATGTCTTGTTCATGTAATCGGATACTACTACAAATCACCCATCTTTTAAATTCTCTCTTTTGCCTGTTGTAGCAGCTTCAAGGATAAACTTAATAGAAGTTACTCCATAAGCCTTGAGTAAGTTGACAAGGAAGTGGGACTCAGTCGGGATAAGACCTTCAAGGAAGCTGTTCAAAATGAGAAGTACTCTACTTCCATTTCTCAAAGTAGCAAAAATAATTTTGGAATGTAGAGCTGCACTTGTTTTAGATGGCATTCTTGGGATTTCGTTAAATGGAAGCTCTCTAATGTTTGTCAATCCAGCGCTTTTGATGATATCTTCATAAGCTCCAAAGCTCATAAACCAATATGCCTCGTTTACCTTCTCGTATCCACAGTTAGTGAGGTTCAGAATATCAACCGCCTTCTCCAAGGAATCCTCTATTGGGAATGCAGGCTTTGGATTCTTCATTAGTACTGAAGGTAGTGGATGATGTTCAGATATACCATCTTTAATCTTCATATCTACTTCTCTTTCAGAATCTATCTGCTCAATGATCTTTGAGACTAATCCTGCTAGCTTAGGCCCTGCCTTAATAGCTTCTGCATGAACTTCAGAATGGGCTAGCTTTTCTTGTAGTCCAGCTGCCAAGTTTGTGATCATTGTGAGTACAACTCATTCAATTCCTATCTGGCCGGCTGACAAGATCTCTGGGACTGTACTCATTCCGAAGCAGCCACCTCCAAATCTTTTAAGTGAAAGAGCTTCAAGAGGAGTTTCATAGGAAGGTCCAGTCGTCCATGTATAGATTCCTTCGAAGAGTTTGATGTCATTTTCATCTGCTACTTTTAATGCCAAATCTTTCAAATATTTCGAGTGAGCAAGTGTAGCACTAGGATTCCTTTCTCCAAATCTTGGATCGTTGAAGCAAGAGGGAATTGGGCACTTTCCTGCGAAGTTCAGATGGTCCTTTGAAACCATAAGAGAACCATGTCTCATTCCTTCGATGCATCCTCCTGAGGAATTAGTGAGGATGATATATTTACAACCAAGGAATGCTGAGAGATAAGTAATGAACGTCAACTGATGACTAGCGTATCCTTCGTACATATGAACTCTTCCTGACCAACAAATAACCTTCTTTCCACCAACTGTTCCTTGGTAGAGAGACTTTCCATGACCAACGACTGAGGTTAGAGGCATGTAAGGAATATCTGAGTACTCAATACTCTTTGGATTTTCCAAAGTATCAACAAGGCCTCCGAGGCCGCTGCCAAGCACCACTGCTACTTCTCCTTCACCGATCCTATCTGAGACGTACTTAGCACTGTATCTGAGACAGTTGTAGTAGTGGGAGGTCGTTTCGAAATCGTACAATTCAGGTCCCTGGTTTTTATTTTCTTCACTCTGTTCCATATTTTAATTCAATAAAATCTTATTCAACAGTGTCTAGTTAAGACGGGGTTTTGGGGTTTTGGGGTTTTGGGGTTTTGGGGTTTTGGGG